CAGCTGCCCCCAGATGTGGGCTGGGCGGCGCGCGGGGAACTTTCGCGCCGGCAGCGAGTGCGGGGCCCCGGCTGCGGTCCGGCTGCCATGGATCCGCCGGCGGGAGCCGCTCACCGCCTGCTCTGCCCCGCGCTGCTGCTGCTGCTGCTGCTGCTGCCGCCGCTCCTGCTGCCGCCGCCGCCCGCGGACGCCCGGCTCGCCGCCGCCGCCGCCGACCCCCCAGGTAGGTGCGGCCGGGCCCCCGAGCTCCACGACCCTGGTCGGCCGGGCCCCGCCCCGCGTGCCTCGCCGCCCCCTCCCCAGGCGTCGTCCAGCCCGACTTGGGCAAACTCTGCGCACCCCGCCCGGGGCCAAGTTGGCCAACTTCGGGGCCGGGTTGGTCGCGCAGGGGGCGCCCCGCGGCGCACCGGAGCGCCTCGGGCCGGGGGGAGCCTCGGAGCGTTCGCGGCTCCCGAGACGCGGAGCGTGGAGATGGAGGACCGGGAAAGCCCCGCGGCAGAGAGCGCAGCGCTAGCCCCAGCGGGTCCTGGGGAGCCAGGGCGAGGCTGCGCCGGGGCTCGCGTCCGGGGACGCTCGGGAGGAGCCGGGTGCTGAGCTCGCCGCCTTGGGCCCTGAGGACTGATGGGGCTCCCTGGAGGGAATCCCTGAAGATCCGAGGGACCCTGCTCCACCCCTCCCTGCCCTCGGGCGCGCGGGGAAGGGGGCCAGCGTTGGTCCAACCGAGAGCTGGACACGGAGGACAGGCCGCGCGTGCCGGGGGGAGCCGAGTCCTCGCCGCTCCGGAGGCAAGCGGTGAGGGCGCCCGGGCGGCGGGGACCGCGGAGGGGTAGAGGCGCACGGGTAGGGGGCCAACCGGCAACGGCTTCGGAGCAGCCCCATGTCCTGCCAAGGACGGTAGGTTCAAGGGACCGGGAACAGTCTGACGGGGCCATCCCCAGGGGAACTGTGAGGAGCTCGCGGAGCCCCAACCCGGAACCGGGCAGGGGGCAGAGCTCTTGGCTGGCAGGATCCCAGAGGGGGACGGCCTGGGGGCGGCGGGGCTCCGGAGTGATGTCCCTGTTAACGCCCCTTCCCAGTTGGAAGAAGGCCGGGGAGGTGAAGGTTAGTTTCTGAGGGTTGTTTGGCAGAATGCCCTTCCCTGTTCGCAGCGGCGGCGGGGTGGTGGAGGGATGCGGGGTTTCGCGGCGAGGCTCTGGCGGGTCTGACGCCCCTTCCCGTTGCAGGAGGGCCCCTGGGGCACGGAGCGGAGCGCATCCTGGCGGTGCCGGTGCGCACTGACGCCCAGGGCCGCTTGGTGTCCCACGTGGTGTCGGCGGCGTCTGCCCAGGCTGGGGTACGCGCCCGCAGGGCCGCCCCTGACCAGACCCCGGGCTTACCTGGAGGCAACGAGGAGGACCCCGGCGGCCGCCTCTTCTACAATGTCACAGTCTTCGGCCGAGACCTGCACCTGCGGCTGCGGCCCAATGCCCGCCTCGTGGCGCCCGGGGCCACGGTGGAGTGGCAAAGCGAGTCGGGCGCCACCCGCGTGGAGCCCCTGCTCGGGACGTGCCTCTATGTCGGAGACGTGGCGGGCCTGGCTGAAGCCTCCTCCGTGGCGCTCAGCAACTGCGACGGGCTCGTGAGTACTCACTTCTCTCGCTCCTTTCTGTCCAAGGCCCTTGCCTGGGAATTGGAGGCTGGTTACCTGTGAGTCCAAGGCCTGCACTGAGGGCCTCCTCTGTACCCCTGTGTGCAGGGACCACGGGGCACTGACTGAAGTGGTTGGCAGGAAAGCAAGTTATTTTGACCGGCCCGAGAGCGGGTGATTTAGGCAGTGGGTCAGGGTCGCTAAAGCTCTGATCAAGCAGAAGAGTGTGGTGTCCCTTATGCGTGCTGGGCCCCAGGTCTTCCTATCGTAGCCAAGTGTGTGTACATCTCTGGGAGTGTGTGAATCTGCACATGTGTCTTGGAATGTTGGTGTGCACTCGCGTCTGGGTACCTGTGCACCTGCGTGAATATGTGTCTTGTGCGTGAGCGTATCTGTAGGTTTCTGCTCATTTGGGTGTCAGGGTATCTGTTGAGTGTGCGTCCCCGTGCATTTGAGAATGTGGGGTATGTGTGCAAGGGGGCACGTGGGTTGGCGGTCAGTCTGCTTGCTTCTGTGCTACCCAGGGAGCGGGGAGTGGTGCTGAAATGCCCGGTTATTCCTCTGCCCCCTGGCTGACCGGGAGCCACTGATTTTTATGCTGTGGTTTCCTGTTGAACTCCAGCTGGTAATTTGAAAAGTCGGTTTTCTCTCTCTATTTTGAGCCAAGGGGAGCATTTGGAAATACAGGCTCTGGTGCCCACGGGTAGCCTCTGAAGGACAGGAGAGAGGCCCAGTCCCCTCCTGGGACTTTTTGGGTCACCGGGTGCGACTGGAGCCCTGGGAAGTTTTCCTGTTTTCAGGGGCCCCAGAGGGACCATGGCTTGGCATCAGGGGGCCTAGGAGGAAGCCTGGATCGATGCTCAGGGAGGAGGCTGACATTGGCGGTGCTCTGTCCGGCCGCCCCGGGGCCTGGCACGGGCAGAAGCCACTGCAGTTTTCTATTTTGGATTGGGTGTGCGGTGGTCAGGCTGGCGGTGCTGGCCAGACATCTGAAGCCGCCCACCGTGGCTTTTGCTGTAAGTGCTGCTCAGGACACTCCCATTCTGAGCGAGTGGCCGCCCTCCCAGCCCTGCTGGCCCCCAAGTCCCCCTGTCCTCAGGCTCGTCCTGCCTGCCTGCAGAGCCAACAATGACACCAGTGCCCCACAACCGCTAGTGTTCTTTTTATGGAGACACAGGAAATGTCACTTGTTGCTTCGGAAAATCACTGCCTTTGGCTGGATTTCATTAGAACCCAGGCATATTGCAAACAACTATAAATGTCCTTGGAGGAATTGGGTTATCCTGGTGCGGCCCTTTGTATGTCCGAGGACGTCCCGGGCCTCGTAGGTGTGTCTCATTTCGTGCTGCAGGTGAATTTCCTAAATCAAAGGAAATCGGTGCTGGGGACTCCAGGGGTTGGGGTAGTTGACATGGATGCAGTCTGTAGGTGGGCCAGCTCCTGTGTACTGATTAATTCCTGAAAGACAGCACTTCAGGGAGTCTGTGTCACTATATCACTCATTCGTCTGTCATTTGGTGATTCATTTGTTTAGCCAGAACCTCCTAGTGTGTTTGTCCACTGTGCCGGTCAGAGGTGTTCCTCGCCCGGTGCCCACCTGGGTTGAGGGGCTGAGCAGTACCCCGTCCCTGCTTTTGACAGTGATCTCCTGGGGGCTATTTGAAGAAAGAGTTGCCAATAGGCAAAGGTGCATGTTGGCAATCTCAGAAGAGGGAAGAAGACGTGCAGAGGTACCAGGTATGCGTTGGCCGGGTCAGGACAGACATGGTGAGTGAGATGTCACATGTACTGGACACACGCCTGCACACGTACAAGATGGAGCAGGAAAGAGTTGGACTTGGAAGACTGGCTGGGCCTTGCCTCAGGGGCCTTGAATACTGTCAGTGAAAAATGGCCTTGAGACAGTGGGGCATCAATTTTAGTTCTTTAAATTTCTTTGTTTTTCTTTTTTTTCTTCTTCTATTCTTCCTTTCTTTCTTCCTTCCTTCCTTCCTTCCTTCCTTCCTTCCTTCCTTCCTTCCCTCCCTCCCTCCCTCCCTCCCTTCCTTCCTTCTTTCCTTCCTTCCTTCCTTCCTTCCTTCGGCCTAGAGACGGTAGGGCATCAATATTAGTTTTTTACTATTTTTCTTTTTTCTTTTCTTTTCCCCTTCCTTCCTTCCTTCCTTCCTTCCTTCCTTCCTTCCTTCCTTCCTTCCTTCCTTTTCCTTCCTTCTTTCCTTCCTTCCTCCCTCCCTCCCTCCCTCCCTCCCTTCCTTCTTTCCTTCCCTCCTTCCTTTTGTTTTGGCATGTGTGCCTCTTCTCATTTTATAACAATTAATTCCTTAACCTTTGAAGCCTCTCTGCATCAGTGATAGGCCTGGGGCTTTATACATCATGCAAAGCCGTGGTCTCCACAGCTGTCCTGCAGGGGAGGGATCCTCATCCCTGGTTTGCAGATAGGCAGGGAGGCTCTAGGAGGATGAGCCACTTGCTCAAGACCACATAGGTAGGATTCTGGCCTGGTTCTCTCCAGCTACTTTTTCCACAGCGCTCCCAAGACACTGAGATAGGCAATACCTGTGCATCCCCTCCCAATGGGCCTTATATGGATAAATGCATCTCACTCACCCAGAAACCCAGGCCCTTAACCCCCGTGCCACACAGGCCACCTTTCTCCTCAGCTTTTGCTCTTCCTTCATAGATAACACAACACACAAAGCAGGTATGTCAGGCTGTGGTGTGTGCGCAAATCCCCAGGGACCTGGTTAAAATGCAGGTTCATCACATCTGCAGTGGGGCCTGAAGTTCTGCATTTCTCATAAGCTCCAAGGCTAATGCTCCTGGGCCTCGGCTTGCCCTTTGAGAAGCCAGGCTCAATAGCCCCCTTTCTGCAAGAGAGTTCTGCAGATTGTAACACACATTGCCTCTAGCAAATGGGGTTCAGCCGACAAACTGGTGTGGGCAGTGCTGTACCTTGCATTCAGCTTGTGAGATTCAGGGAGTCCATCGGGATCTCTGAGAAGTTCTGTAATGAAGAAGTCGTCTCAGGGCTCCTGGGTGGCTCTGTCAGTTAAGTGTCCGGCTCTTGATCTCAGGTCAGGTCTTGATCTCAGGGTTGTGATTTCAAACCCTGAGTTGGACTCCATGCTGGGCGTGGAGCCTACTTAAAAAAAAAAAAAAAAGGAAATGTCTTGTGCTCTGTGTAATCCATCATGTTCTACGCAGATGGGACCGTGGAACCCCTTCTTTGCAGAACATTTGAAACTAGTCTTCCTGGAAGACGTGAAGAGAAACCACAGAGCAGGGTCCCAGCAGGCAGCTGTGGTCTTAGAGCTTACATTTAGATGGGACATGCCTTTCCCAAGAGCCACAAGCCCTTTCAGGCCTAATGTCCTGCTCCTGGCCAGGGACACACAGTTGCTCATCTACTTGCCTGGCCCTGAGTTTGTTTCTCTGCTTTAAAGGAAGGCACAGTGGCAGTAGCTTTGTTTTCTGTGGACAGGAGTCTCCTAATCGAGGAGATTCTTAATTCACCATATTTGTCAGGATCTTTTCAGTTACAAGTGACGGCTTAAGTTAAATTAGTTTAAACAAACAAAAAAAGGGAAGTTATTAGCTCACAGAATGGTAAATCTTCAGGCATGGCTGAATCCAGGTGCACTTGTCTCCTGTCTCTGTCTTCTATGTGTTAGCTTTGTTGTCAGGTGCAATTCTTCTGTGGTGCCCCCGTCTTTCCAGGGGCCCAGCAGTGCCTGACTGACATCTTTTTCTGATTATTTCTGGCTGAGTCCTGGGTATGACTCTGGCTAGCCTGGGGTCTAATGCTCTTGGGAGAACCCCAGAAATGGAGACCGGAAGAGGTGCTGTTTCCTCAGTTACCATGAGATTGGGATTCTGGGCCTGCCAAGATGTAGATCTTTCTGGAGTCAGGTAGAGGTGCAGACTCAAGAGATGCCACATGAAGACATGCTTTGTAAGGCATGCCGGGCACTTTATTTCCAGAGAGGCTGGGAAATGTAGAGTTTCCAGGTTGTCTTTTTTTTTTTTTTTTTTTTTTTTTTTTTTTTTTTTTTTTTTTTACAGCCACTAGACAGAAATTGTTCATGATATGCACAGGGAAAGGGTAAAGTTTGTCTTTTCACAATGCATAAGAAAATTACGCTTAATGAAGGATTCTTGCATGTCGCGTTGCTATAGTTTTCTAGTACCTCTCGGGCCACGTGATAGGTATGCTAATTTCACATCATTCTTATATGCTCATCAAAAACCCAATAAGGGGCACCTGGTGTCTCAGTCAGTTAAACGTCCGACTCTTTATTTTGGCCCAGGTCATGATCTCAAGGTTGTGAGATCGAGTCCCCTGTCAGGTTCTGTGCTGAGAGTGGAGCCTGCTTAAGATTTTTTTTTTCTCTCTCTCTCCCTCTGCCCCGCTCCCCTCCTCAAAAATACAGCAACAACAACGAGAAGGCTGTTGGCATAAAAATAATAGTAACTCGTAGTTTTTTGTGCGTCTACTATGTGCCAGGCTCCCTGCTGAGCACCTGATATCACCCTGTTCAATCCTCGCACTATCCTGTGGTCTATGCCTCATATCCCCATTCTACAGATGAATGAACTGAACCTCCAAATGCTGAAACCTTGCTTCTGATTCGAAGACCACGCCAACTACATTTTATTGCCTTTTTTTTTTTTTTT